AATATACCTAGGTAGTATTTACAAATATGACAAAAATAAACAATAAAAAACAATAAAGAAGAAGTTATAAACAAGATACTTGAATTTACAAATTATTTATAAAAACATTAGTTAAATATTTATTTATATTAATATTATTACTTAATCTAAGATACCTTTTGACATTAATTTCTAGGTAATTGAAATAAGTTGGCCCTAAATAGTCTACAAATTTCTGACCAATACATTTATTTGAATAATTGACATTTAGATTGTATTTTAAAGTTTCACGTTTATTTATATACGGATCGAATGTAGAATGATTTTTTAAAGTAAAAGATATAGAATATTTTTTATATAACAGATTTAGAGGAAGTACACCCAGTTCTTTGTAATTTTCATTAGAAGAACCAACTCGATCTGTTTTATTTAGAGAGATACGAACAGCTCTATTCTGTAAAGATATTATTGGTTTTAGTGTTTTTTCAGAGGCACCACCCCATATAGTTATACCATATTGTAAGATAGATTGATAAAGTGACAAGTAAACAATTTTCATGGTATCTGAGGAGAGAGTTTTATTCAAACAATTTAACTTATATAGGTATAACAGTTCGTAAGCGCATATTAATATTTTGTACATGGATATTCCATCTAAAATTGCAGTCTAGCATTAGTCCTAAGTATCTGACCTTTGTTACCCTCTTAATTTTAAAATCATTTGAACCGCGAGTTTTATGACTATCATTATAAATTATTAGTTCCTGATTTGAAAATTGAGTACAATTATAAATAGAAAACGCAATTCTTGTCAAGTGCATTATAGATATTTTTTGATAGGTACATTATAAAGTGCATCAATAGTTCCTAGACCTTTTCTAAAGCCAAATTGATTTTTAGATAACAGGTTATTTTCTTCTAGAAATGTAATAAGTCTATTTTTTACTATTTTTTCCAACACTTTAGCAAAAATTTAAAATACTGATTATTGATTATTGTTTTACGTCGCTATTTGTGAAATCAGATGAACCTTCCATTTCAGATAATTCTTTTAAAATTATTTTTTTTTGCAGGTCTAGTACACAGATCATCAACTGCTTTCCTCTAACAAATTGAGTTTATAATTTGTCTTTCAATTGCGGTTGTTGAATATGGTTCGTGGACTCGTGGTTATGTATTATTGATTGACAAGATAATACTTCATATTCATATTTATCATTAGAGTACACTTTTGCGGAACAACTTTTTTTAATACATCGCCAACGAATATTTTTATCAGATGTGTTATAACTACTGACCCAATAAAAATTTAAAGTTGTTTAGTAAGAGTATTTTGTTTCCACATTTACTCTCGATGATTTCAGCTTTGGCCATTATACATTTTAAAAGTTTCACTCGCACAAATAACGTTTTATTGTAACAATTGTAACGCACAATTTAAACTGTGCAACCTTTAATAAAATATATTACCTTAGTTAGATAATATCGTTGGATATTATCTTGGTTAATCGACATACATTTATAAGTATGATAATGCTTTAACGTATAATATAATACAATAAGCGTGCATAGTATAATGATATAGGTACACACAATATATCATATAGGAGTTATAGGTATTAATGTATTATATAGTCATATAATATAATACATTAATATATCCAATAATTCACAAACTAAAGACGTTAATACCGGAACACATTTATATTATTACTAGCTATCTCACCCGGCATTGTCCATGTAAATTTTCAAGTATTAAATAATTATATAAATTTTTTTTTTTTTTTTTATGGTTAGAATTTGTTTGAGTACCTATACTTGGACTTTTTGCATTACATGACTATACGACCATTTGGCGTCATTTACTCATTTTGTCAATCAATGATAACTATTAATTTTTGTAATTTTTTCATAGATTACATTTGTATGTTGTCATACATTTTGACAATAATTAAAATAATGTATCATCATAATATGTGTTCTTTACAACATTTTCATAATTTAAGAACTACAACCAAACAATTAAAAAAGTGGATGTCACTTTGCTGTACAGTAGGTTACAAGCGAGTCACTGTAATGGATAGTGTTAAATTTGAATTCAATGATATAGGTAATATCATTGCAAAAAAAAAACGATTCTGAGCGAAAACGGTCAGTCAGTCTATGATATTACTAAATACTTAATACCTTCTACTCCAACTTTATAAGAATATATCAGGAGCCTTGCATTAAATTGTCACGCTTTTTTACACAACAATAACAATTTTATTTATAGAAAAAAAAACTATAAAAATTGAAAACTGACAATGTCCGTAAAAAGCCCAAAAAGAGTCAAAAATTTTCAAAATTTTATGGTGTAAAGAAAATTAAAATATAAACATTCAATAAAATTGTCATGTATTTACAGTTATTCGTTTTTGAATAACAATAAAATAACAAAACTGCTACATGAGAATCGAGTAAATATCCAGTATCGTAAAAATGTGAATTTCAAACGCTCATAATAATTTAATTTGATTTACTCGTTGACATTTTTTTTGTTTGATAAAGGTAGACAAACTTATGAGGAATCTTGTATTTAAATCTTAAATTTAAAAAGAAAAATTTTAAGAATTCTCAACTCAAAATAATTTGCTCATTTTCATGATTTTTCGGTATTTTATAAAGATTTTAACTTTGAATGCTTATAAATAAAAACTGTGACTAAGTATTATTTTTAATTTTTTTCAAATTTCATTGTAACTATATAGAAGGAGCCTTGTATTACATTTTCAAGATTTTTTACCCAACAAATAAAGTTTTATTGACATTCATAGAAAAATACACTTATAAAATTGGAAACAGAAAATGTTCCTAAACAGTTCAAAACAAATCAAAATATTTTGAAAATGTTATCGTTCATAGAAAATGCAAATATAAACGACCAGTGAAAATTTCATGTATATAAATACATTTGTTTTAGAGTTAGGTACTCCTATAAACTACACCCATATAAACTAAAATATAAAATGCATAGTTTTTACTCCTTATTAGAATGGAATACACTCCAGCCTCCTTAAAAAAATTTTTAATTGAGGTTAGAAAAACATTAAGTTCAACATCTTGATCTTATTGAAAGTTCATGTATAAAATTTGTAAAATTAATACTCCAAATATCATTAAATAAAGGCTAAAAAACTATTTTTAGGCCATTATAATAGTTAGGTACCTAGATATAGTTTTGCGTACAACAAATACCATACATTTTACTGTTTTTTAAAAAGGTTTTAAAAACGTGTAGGTATGTTTTAAGAAAAAACTTTTTACCAAATAACATAGTCTTTAAGGGGCCTCGCAATGGCATTGATTTAAGGAGAATCATTTAGGCAATTTCTAATCTCGTCGTCGCCACCCGAGATCTATGTGTTAGTCGTAAATGATTATTAGTGTGTGTGGTGTCCACGCGGGTCAATTGTAGCTCTCGCACGCACTCGCACACACATGTCAATATAATAATATTGTGATCATGAAAAAATGCTTATTTTTCCCTTAAGGGGCCTGGTCGCGATTTTTCAAATTTTCAGCAATTTTATAAAATTTGAAAATTAAATTTTATATTTTAGTTGCCACCTCAACTATAAGACTTTTCCACTAATCTACTACCCAATACCTATTTAGGGGGGGGGGGTTGATAGGGTGTATTATATCGGTCAAAACACAGTTTACAGGAAAAACTCTCACCCCTCGTGGATTGGTCCGATTTTCGTAATTTTTTTTTTGTTAGATAGAGGAATATTTTTTACAGGGCGCATTGGACTTCGATTTTTGATTACGTCGCTAAAAACAAAAAATAATACAAAAACTAAAAAGTTGTAAGAATTGATTAAATTCAAACTTGTAACATAAGGCTTAGAAAAATAATTTTGAAAATCCAAGTCCAATGCGCCCTGTAAGAAGTCTTCCTCTATCTAACAAAAAAAAAAATTACGGAAATCGGACCAATCTACGAGGCGTGAGAGTTTTTCCTGTAAGGCATGTTTTTGAGCAAAAAACAGGTCGCGTGCAGGCCCCTTAAACATACGATTCTAATTCCAACAGTACGTCGCAACGATTACCTCGATTTTCATTCTGACAAAATATTCTTATTTTCCACAACATGTACGAGGGATCGATCGAGGCACATTTTTAAAATTGTATTTAGTTAATTAAATATTTAAGTTGGAAATTCTGTATTTTTTTTTGATTTTTTTACAATTTTTATTGCAATTTAAATTACAAAAATTAAAAATGTGGCTCGATCGTTCCCTTGTATATATTACGGACAATCAGAATATCTTTTCAGAATGAAAATCGTGATAATTTTCGACACGTATCGTTGGAATTAGAAACAGTAGTTTTTGACAAAAAAAAAGACTTGGTAGTGAGGCCCCTTAATAGAGCAGATGCATTGATCAAAAAAAAAATTAAATTATAAGTAGAAAACATTCATTGTTAGAGATCTAGGTAACTCAAAGGAAGTAGAATGAATGAATATTATGTTTTTCCTCATTTTTTATAAAATATCTTTATACTATGTTTTAGCATGTATAGGTACCTAACATTAAAAATAAAATTTAAAATATTTGACTGAGTTGAGTGTATAATAAGCAGAGACAAGTAGAGAACAATAATTGTAATAATAATTATTATTGTTACGATACAAGCTAATAAATATTTTTTTCATTTCTGCATTTTATAATAAAATATTATATACAACTTTTAAACGTTTAAGACGAAAATTAAAACAGCCTTAATTTAATTATATAAGAGAAAAATAATTTCTGAAATAGGGGGTGCGGTTGGAATTAAACTAACAATAAATCAAAATGCTTAAGATGTTTCAAATGTTTGAATTATTTTTAAAGACAATCTAATTTTCTTCTTTTAAAATAATTACATTTTTACTATGATTCTTTGTCATTTATTTATACATAATATACAAAAATATACACAAAAACTATCTACCGGTTTATTAATTGCTTCGTTTTAGGTACTTTTTTTTATTAAGAAACATTAGTGTTTGGTAACATAATCTTAATAAATAAAGAACAATCATCACAAGGAAATAATAAAGGTTCTATCTGATCAACCATTGACTTAGGTACTAAAAACATGCCTCCGCAACGGCATCTGTAGGAAAAGATTTCTTCCGCTTCATCAAATTCTAAATCACTAATATTTAAAGTTTCAAAGATTGTTACTTCTGTATCAATATCACATTGTTCAATTTGCTCATCATATGTTTTTTTTAATTCGGCATCTTTAAGAACACCCCATGCTTTATTCAATTCGGCACAAGCAGCTGTTGTTGAGGACAGTATACTTTTATCTGGATGAAGCTTAACAAGTAGTTTTCTATAATTATCCTTTAATGTTTCAAAAGGTGTGGTTTTATCACAACCTAATATTTCATATAAGTTTCTTTTAACCTGAAAACAATAATTTTTTAATTACTTTTCAATTAGGTAAATTATACAATTTTATAAGTAGATTTTCCAAGCTAGTTTAAATAAGAGACTCATAAAAAATATTTATTACAATAAACTTTTATGTGTTAAAGAATCAATATGGTTTTCAAAAATATAAGAAAGGTCATAAAGTAGTAGCTGTCAGGATAAAATAAAGTAGTAACTAAGTATCAGGGTTTCATTTACCTCAATGTTTTCATAATTTTGAACTACTCGTCTAAATGTTACAGAAATTCTAGTTCTACGACAAATAATATCAGGACCATCGGCCGTGTTAATCATATCAAATTTTCTTGGTGTTATGCCATGAGTCCAATCAAATCTTGATTCACCAGACATAATTAAAAGAGATTTTGACTTTAGCAAAATACTATTATGATAGTTTCCTTTTCTGAATTCCATCATAATATCAGAATTTAATGACAGAGACAAAATATATTCGTCAAAAACTCCATGAGTATCTATATGACTTGGAATTCCTGAAAATAAAGAAATACATTTAATTACATACAAACTGTTCTATACAATTGTATGCCAAAGCTCAATAGAATAAGTACACATAAACCCAAATAGGTATTTCTTTACTAAAACTAAATAATATAACTGCTTAATGTTAAAATCTAAAATTGCTGTTGATTCGTTATCAAGAAATATAAAAGGCATGTTTTTCTCATGCACTCACTTAATAGGCTTAATTGTAGTACTTATTCAAAAATACACTAGATAATCTGCAGTTTATGATTTATTATGTATTTTAGTAATTTTCATTTGTAGCTTAGAGTATTTTAAATGTGATAATATAGAAGACTTTTATAGTTTTATATCACATTCAATGATAGGCAAAAAAAACCTAGGAAACGCCAAGTTTCAGTTGTTTTATTTTATATGAGAGAACCAAATAACAGTGGCCAAGCATAAGTCTAGGTTGGAAAGACATTGAAAAAAAAAATCAAGTATAATAACAATATTATACTAGTATATCTTAGACAATATCACACAAGAAATAACAAACCGTAAATTAAAAATTAACAACGATAACATATTTGTGACTGTCAATAATGTAACAATGACAATTATTTAAAATAAAACAAAAATATGAACAGCGAGACTCATAGCTCAACGATGAACGTCACTCACTTTTCAATTCGCATCACACACCAAGCCAGAGTTAACGAGACATCATATCATATTTATTTATTTTTATAATGAATTTATAATGTATTTGTATGTTTACTGGAATAACCCGCCACACAGGCACAGTCTGCCTGCATGTGGTAGTGTGTGGTAGTGTGGGGTCCGCAATTAACTATTGTAACAATATTATAAAAGTAAAACAAAAAAAAAGATTTTACAAATATTGGAATAAATATATATAATAATATATTATTATGAAATTCTAATTTATTTATAGAAACAATATTTAATTAAATTTATTATTTAAATTATTTTTTCAGTATTCTAAGTGGGTAGATGTCTCATTGTTTCCTATTACACTTAGGCATTTCCGAAAAACAATTTTAAGTAGTAAGAGTTATAACTTGTAAGTACCTATTTTAAATTTTAATACAAAATATTATACAGAATCTTTAGTGGGTAATTTATGTTTTTGAATATTTTTACCTTGTCCAGGTAAATATTTATTAACTGTTATTTGATTGGGATGCCATTTTAAACGCAAATAAATAGCATTTAAAATAAATTCAAATTCTTTAGGAATTGGATCACATGAATCATATCGAACTCCATTATTGTCATAATCAAATTCATATCCATAATGTTTTACTTGACGATGCTTCATTGAACCTACAAATTAAACTTAATGAATAATTGTTTACAAACTTTAAATACCTAATAATAAAAAATTTACTTGATTCGGACCAATGTTTTTTTAAATATTGTAACATAAAATCTTCTTCTTCTTCTGTAATGAAATTGTCAATAATTTCCAAGCCAGAAGGGGATGAAGTTGACATTTCTATTAATTTTGGGACTGTAATGGAAAATACAATTACATAAAATCATATTATCTTTATAATACTAATAAGCATTACCTGATACAGTATAAATTAAATAAAACAATTGTTGTTCAGGAAGACTATTGACTTTCCAATTCACTTTGTCCCATGCACTTATTGCTTCTTGTACATTGGTGTAGCAAATAAAACAATATGATTTATGAGGTAACATTATTATGCGCTCTACTTGACCATATTGAGAAAAAACTTGTAAAACATCTTTTCTACTTAAACCGTTCACCAAACCATAATTGCACACCATTAAATTCTAAAACAAAATAATTATTAGTGAATATCTTAGGGCTGGAGGTATTTTCAAAATCAGGTATTTTAGAAAACCGGTATACTGTAAATCGGTAATTACCGTTGTTACCAAAAATACCGTTCCACGCCAATTACCGAAAATACTGTATATCTACATTTATTATTTATTATTTTTATATAATCGTAATGACATAATATAATAGCCCTATCCTAGGTTGAAAACCATTGCTAATACTTATAAACAGGGCTCAGAAGTTCTAGCAAATGCATATTTTTCTTGGTTCAACCTAGAACATGAAAAGTAAGACAAAATATGTATCACACTTCTCTAATGTCATACATACAATTTTATTTTGCTATTTTTTTTGCATATTTATGGTTTTTATTACTATTTATCTAATTTGTTGTTTATAGCGCTATTTTTGAGTATATTTTCAGAATATACATAATATACACCATACCTACATATTAAACAAAATATAGGAAATTATCACATTATGTTGAAAATAATTATTAACTTGGTTAGGAAATAAATAGACCTTATGAGTATTTACAAACATATTTAAGTGATTTAATATATTTGTTAACAGTTTATAATTAAAATAGTCCAGACCGTCCCTGACGTCTATGAGCCCAACAGTTTTATAAAATTGTAAAATGACTTTTATCCCTTACTCTTTTCTAATAAATTTTAATATTTTCAAGTTAAATGCATGTTTTTTGTTTTCTGTGCTATTTACAGAGTATATTTTGGAGTTTTTAAGTGCTTATTTTAGAGCTAAAAAGTAACATTTTTAGTGCTACAACTTCCGAGCCCTGCTTATAAATTTGCCAAAGTTATAGTATTTTTGATAATTACCGAGGTACGATTCGTACAATATTTTTGTTAATAACCGAGGTACGGTATTTAGATAATTACCAAAAATACCGTACAACCAGTAATAAATAAATACCAAATACCGGTATGAAAATTTGAAATACCACCAACATTAGAACACCTATCTATTTTCTGTTTTAAAAACCTATAAATTGAATTACTTAAATATATCAACCACGCATTGTTTAGAATGGGTATGGGTTCGGATAAATTATGCATGTATTTTATGTTCAGTCTATTAAGTAATACTAATAAATAGCAAAATAAATATTAATTATATGATTTATTTACAATTATCAAATATTAATTTATTTTCAATATTGATGGAGAATCAGTTAAATAGTTACTTATTGAAATGTATATACATTTTTTTAATGTTTGAAGCATGAAACAATGATCTGCAATTGAGAAGTAGGTGTTAATTGAAACTTGCCATCAATAAATATTAGGTATATTAATTTAATTCCTAATTATTTTTTAACTAAGGTGTTGGGGTGTATGAGGATAAGCTGTGGACCTCAACACAAATATCATGGCAAATATTATAATTAATAATTATTAATGGCCCCTACTGCTAATTTGGTTCAATGAAGGGTGCGGTGGTAAAATTTTTTTAAAATTTACAATATGCTTCAAAGCCTCCACGATTTTGCGCCACCATTGAGGATAAGTGAGAAATAAAAGGGTTTGGGTGGTGCTACAGTTTTGAATAAAATTCTGTATGGTATTTTTTTAACCTGTTGATCGATTTGATTCCAAATAAATTAAAATTGTTTATAGTCAAGTATACAGAGTATAACAGGTTAGGTAAAAGGAAGAACAGACAGATGAAATAACTTTTGTTTTAATCAATATTTTAAAATTTATTTTTATATATAATTTATATTTACTTGTGACACATATCACATAAAAAAATTAATTTTTATTTTTTAATACTGAAAATAAAAAAAAAGGTGGGCAAGTGGGTGTCGCTCTGCTGTACAGTAGGTTACAAGTGGGTCACTGTATAATGGATGATATTAAATTTGAATTCAACGATATAATATCATTGTATAAGAAAAACGATTCTGAGCGGAGACGGTATGTCAGTCTATGTTTAAGACATATTATATACATATCTATGGTATTAAACAAAAAATTGACCTATAATAATTAATAGGTACCTATAATAAATTCCAAATTAATCATATCACAATGTCCATTAGGTACTTATAACGCGTTATACATCAACAAAACCGTGATACTATCATAGATATATAATAGTACACTTTAGAAGTTTCAAGTACCCACGAATAATATTATTCAATCACAACAAAATAACTAAAATAGTTATTCTAGGTTTTTTAATATGTAATTTCGTCCAAATTTGAATTTAAAATGTCTGTAAAAAATAACTGTGTTCATATATTTTTTAGATTTTTTGGTTACAGTATGAACTATTTATGAGAACCTTTGTTTTAAATTTGCAATCCTTAGCTATAAAAACTGAACATTTTATAATTTATTAATTTCAATGATTGATAATTTTCGAGATTTTGATAAATTTTGTCAAAATTTGATCTTTAAATGCTTATAAAAAAAAACTGTGCCTATGTATTTTTAATATTTTTCAACTGCTATTGTAACAGTATATCAGGAGCCTTGTATTAAATTTTTACACTTTTTGGCCCAACAGATAAAACTTTATTGATATTTATAGAAAAAAAAACTAAAAAAAATTGAAAGCTGTAAATGTCCATAAACAGCTCAAAAAGAGTCAAAATATTTTCAAAATTGTATGGTGTATAGAAAATGCTAATTTAAACATTCAGTGAAATTTTCATGTATCTACAGTTATTTGTTTTTGAATTACAACAAACTAAGGAAATCGCTACATGGGAAATCGAGTGAATATTCAATGTTGTAAAAATTTGAATTTCAAACGCTCATAAAAATTTAATTTGACTTTCTTATAGACATTTTTTTTTTGATAAAGGTAGATAATCTTATAAGGAATATTGTGTTAAATTTTCAAATCTTAGATTTAAAAAGAAAAATTTTTACGAATTCTTAATTCAAAATAATTTGCTAATTTTCGTGATTTTTCCATATTTTGTCAATTTTTGAACTTTAAGTGCTTATAAAAAAAAATTGTGACTAAGGATTTTTAATATTTTTCATCTGCCTTTGAAACAACATATTAGGAGCCTTCTATTAAATTTTCAAGCTTTCGCAACCAACAAATAAAATTTTATTGATATTTCTAGAAAAAAAACTAAAAAAAAATGAAAAATGAAAATGTCCCTAAACAGTTCAAAATAAATCAAAATATTTTGAAAATGTTATCGTGTATAGAAAATGCAAATATAAACAACCAGTGAAAATTTCATGTATATACGTTCATTTGTTTTAGAGTTACACCAAAAACCAAAATCGATTTTTTGGAAAACCAATTTTGCGTAAAAATTCCCGTTTTTCCGTAATTTTTATGTTGTTTTTCCCGGCGCTTGTGAAAACTACTGGGAAATTTATACTTTTGACCCCCCAAAGTACCAACTAGATTCACTTTCCTATCAGAAAAGCTACTGATGAAGAAAATCCAAGCACTTTTACTGTCCTAAAACGTGATGACAGACACAAAAATAAAAAAAAAAATAAAAAAATAAAAAAAAAAATAAAAAAAAAAAATAAAAAAAAAATTAAAAAAAAAACACACATCATTGTAAAATCAATACATTCATCGTTTCACTCAGAATCTAAAATTAATTTTGATTTAAATTTTTTTGGATAAATTCAAAATAGCCAATTTGTAAATCTAATTATGAGAACAACTTTTACGGTAAAACATTTATCCAAGTCAAGTAGTTACTTTTTTAGAATTTTTTTAAATATTAATATTTTTTTGATTAAATTAATTTGGAACGTAATAACTTTTTTCGAAATATTATTTTTGGGAATTTGCTTACATGAGTATATTTTTTAAATTATTTACTAATCATATAATTTTAACAATTTTTGTCATGTGTTTAAGTACCGTTTTTTTTTGTCAGGTCTCCTTGTTACACCAGCTGTATAGTACATCATAAATAATAAACTACATTAAAAGCTTGTAAGTGATTAAAATAATACTTAATTAAAATAAATTATGCTTAACAAAATAACAATATTGTATAAAATATGTATTACCTTAGTTGGAATAGAGCTAGCTTCAATATTCATATCTTTCTTCAATATAGATTCATATTTAAACCTTTTCTTGTGTAACTTTTGTTCCATTATGAGATAAATTATGACTAGGTTAGTTAGCAGTTCATACGAAAAATTTAATTAGTTAAGAAAAATAATGGAAAATCATTGATGCTATAAAAAATATATAACAGTTTATTATAAACTAATATCGAGAGAAGAACTGCATCCTACCAAATACTATACTATGCTATATTATGTAGTATTTAATTTTCTATCATTGAATATAAATTGTACCACTCTAATTCTAGTAGTCCTACACTCAGACAAGAAATTTCTATAATTATAAAATCTAGATAAGACGATCAGTAGATACTAGATCTTAGTAAATAAATAGGCAGTTTTTTTTTCCTTAAATGATTGATTCCTGTAGCTTTAAATGGTTTAATTCAACTTTCAAGTATTTAAGATTTAACTATAAAAAAATTTAACTATAAAAAAAACAATTTCTATTATCTTAAATCATGACCGATAGATAAGTATATCTTTAATTGTGATTGGGACAAACGTCCATAGTCAAGATGGCCATCTAGTGGTGAAATTACTTGTGCTAAATATCGTAAATCGTAATCCACGATTATAAATATTATAATCGTGTCGTAATCAAATATAATCACACTCAAATTCTATGATCTTATCATTTTATTATGATTTATGATTTATGAATATTTATTTAAATGAGTAATTTCTCTAACACCTAATGTTCTAAATAATTTGTAATTTGTTGTATAGTTCAAACTTAAAACTTCAAGATAATTAATTAAATATTATATTAGCTGTGTTTAGGAATAAGGAAAATTTTTTGTGTCCAATACTATCTACTTCAACTTCTAAGTATTTAATATTTATCAAGTTTAATAAAATCGTTATGAATTTGCTAGTTTGGTCAATTATTGTTAGTTTTTATAATATGTTTTCTATCAAATTTCTACCAAAGGTAATTTATGAATTATTATTAGATTGTCATTTATTATACAACAAACATTTTATTATATTATATACTATATAGTACCTATTGGTGCCACTCTCTTTTAACTGTATACCTTTTTTACTTTAATTTATTTTATTTACTGTATAGTTTATAATATGGTCCATGAATATCAATAAAGAACATCAGAAAATAGTGGGAGAAATATCTTTATTAAAAAAAGAACAATCCAAAATTTCAATTGTAAAAGAATTTGCTAAACATGCAAAATTACAACGAAAAATCAACAAGTTGAATGAACAATTAAAAAACCACGGTTTGTTTTAATAACTTTATGCTGTATACTTCATACCTATTGGCTATTATTATATTTTAAGAATTATTTATTATTCTAAATATTTATTTTTCAGTAATAGAAAATTCATCTAAAAATTTAAAGATCAAATTCATCAGTAAAGTGTCTTTATATGTTTTTTCCGTAAGTAAATAATAAGATTATTTTTGAAAAATTAAAATTGCATTAAGTATTTGAAATTATCTGACCAAATCATTTATATTATTATAAATATTGAATATATATGGCTGGTAAATAATTAATAATACATACATAGATACTATTTTAACTTGCTTGAATATGTTTAAATTAAAAATAATTTATAAATACTAAATAACTAAATAAATAACTAATTATCACAAATTTTAAATTTAATTTTGGCTAATTATCAATGTGTTAAAAAATTTAAGTTTTTCCCGCAATCACAATTTTTCCATTTTCTTCCACCTTTGTACATTGTACTATTATTTATATTACCTTTATTTAATATGTTGACATAATATAATTATTGTACACAGGGCCGGTGTTAGGTTTTGCAAGGCCCTTGGTGGATACATTCCGCAAGGCCTTAAATGTATGGAATATTTAACACCCCCACTCACTACCAAAGAAGAAATAACCTAATTTTTATAATTATTTATCTAAATATACAGTTTATGATTATTTATACATTATACACCTATAATAATATTAATATAATTTCTAATATCCTATATTTATATTTTATATCTTAATAATTTATTAAGAAAAGTATTTATTATTATAATAAAATAGAGTTTTACTTTTACCCTGAGTTTTACCTACTTAATAATTATTTAGGTAGGTATTTAAATGAAAAATATTTTAATCTTAAAAATTAAATAAACTAAAATACAGAAATAAAAAGTCAATAAAGGGGATAATTTTTTACAGGGCGCATTGGACTTTGTTTTTAATTTTGTTGCTTAAAACAAATATGGTAAAAATAACAAAATCTTGTGAAAATTGGTCATATTCAAAATCGTATTATATGGTTTAGTATTAATTTTGAAAATCCAAGTCCTATGCACCCTGTAAGAAGTGTTTCTCTTAAAAAAAAAAAAATTATCGAAATCAGATCAGTCTACGAGGCGTGAGAGTTTTTCCTGTAAGACATGGTTTTTGAGCAAAAAAACTGAAGACGACAACCATTCACCAGTAGTGTAGATAATAATTATAAGAAAATCAAGTGGTCAAATAAAATTAATTTTGTCAATCTTTAAATAACAACTAAATGCTTTTACTGGTATTTTCACGATTTTTAATTAAAATGATAATCGTGCTCAGTGGCGAAGGGGTGTTTCCCCCCCCCCCCTTGGGCTGTTTTTTTAACTTTATTTTCTATTATAATATGTGGCTAAACAAAAAGACAATTTAATTTTTGAAAATTCCCCCCCCCTCTTGGGTGACTTCTGGATCCGCTACTGATTGTGCTCCCCTAGTCGACTTTTTTCGAACAGTATTAATTTATAGTTATAAAATATTTGTTAATAAATATTCATATTTGTATCTAACTATTCCATAATAATTAACGGCATGGAATCGGTTGCCATATTTCTATACATCAGTGAATATCTGTGTATTATAAAATCAATAACCCAGCATAAAATACGAATACCCAACCTACTCGCCCGGCCCTGATTGAACAAAACATTTACTAAATTACCAAAGTACATTTTGTGGTCAACATATTATTATCATGTATTTAATTTTTTATTTATTAAGATAATAATGTAGGTATTATGTTTATATTTATATAATTATCAATGAATTATTATTACTTTTGTTTCAGGCAATTTTAAATCTTCTATTTGTTTATTACAACTATAATAAAACCGTTTTAATAGAACTTCCAACTAATTGGTTTTTACCATTATCTTGGTTAGTTCAATGGCCTACCTCACAAGTTGGTACAATGAGTTTTGTCTTTTGGTATAGTGTCACTAATTGTGTTGCTAAGATGACCAGTAATAATATATTATGAATAGAAACAACTAACAAATGTTATTAAGGTTATTTGCTGAGTGATGACTGATCATTGTGTAAATTATTAAGCATGTGAATTTACTACAACACTTAATTTTGTGGGACTATATTAGTAACAAAATTGATAAGTATTTAGGATTTGTTTAAATTCTGTAATTTGATATTTACTAGTTTGTTATACTTGTATATTTCTAATTTGTTTTCAATTTTTAAAACTAAAATTTATTCTTGTATCAGAGGAAAATATATATTTTACAGGGTGTTTATACAATTTCTAGTATCGATATATTCAAACTATTTTTTGTTTATATGATAAAAAAGTATAATAATTGAAAAATTAACATTGCTTAAGTTATTCAATTAAACAAATATTAATATATCTATAGTGGGATTTATATTTACATTTCACAAACAATTATTTTTGAATTTTGTTAAATTTTATTTTGTTTAATTTGTTTTTTCTCATACATTAGAATAAAATAAAATAAAGTTTTTTAAATGATATATGGTATATTTTATCACTTAATACTGTCTACATTAATCAGACAAACTGTAATAATGATAATTTTTCCTCATTTTGCTTCAGTTATTGAAAAATTGTGCCATGAATATTCTTTAACCCGTTGTTCATGATTCATTCTAATTTAAGGAAATGTATTGCTGTTTTTTTGAACAGACTAAAGAGAACAATTAAAAACACTTCTCTAATTATTTAAAATTGATTCTCAATCTCTCGCACCTTTACACTCTAATCAGTCTAATTGATCTAAAATCTACTAATTCCTATCTATATAAGTTTTTTACTGAATAGCGGTGTTGTTATGGAACTATTCGTGGAATTGATTCCTTTTTAGAGGCACAAATGAAGGAATTAATTCCATTATTTTTTTAATGAATTGAAACATGAATTTATTCCTTATTTTTAGAAACAGGAATGTAAATATTATAATTCTTTTGTTCTTCTCGGAAATGTTTTAAACAACATTTGGGGAGAAAATTTTCGTTTACTTTTCATGTTTTTAATCAATAAAAAAATAATTGACTACACTACCAATTTTTTTTATATAATTCACCCTCTGCAACTTAGGCCATTGGGTGGTTTTTAACTGTGTAGGAGGTTACTGTAGGTTTAAACACGTTTGACAGATTTTTAGTGGGCACCTGTAGGTATCTGCCATGCCCGGGTACCAAATTTTTTATTCACATATAACCTATATAAAAGGAACTTTAACAACACCTTACACTGCTGAATAATAAATAGTAAATACTCCATATCCGTATTTTTGTCAATTAATTTATTTCACAGTGTAACACCTTGATTATTACAGATCTATGTTAGGTACTATTTCAGTTATTCTTGTTGTTCTCCTATTAGTAAACAATGAATTTGTAATGTATGAATTTTATTTAAAAATTGTTTGTTATTTAAAAAAATAGTGAACCTTAATAAAAACTTTGTTTATAAATTATATATATTATATTATAATTGTATTAAAAAGTGTAAATAAATATATTTTTAAAGTTTATATTTTATAAGTTATTAAGTTATCAAAACGTTGCAATAATATTTTAGTCAATATTGTTTTGTATAGTATCGGTTTTTCATTATTGTTATAATATATTATATTTTGTTTTATGTATTTGTTTATTTATTTATTTAATACACTAAATATTTTGTATACACCTAATGTATGAAGTAAATTGTGATAAATATATTTGGTAATTGTAGAATATATAGCATAGAAAATTTTTTTTTTTTTTTGTAACAGTCAATATATGGAATATGGTCTAACACTCTAACATGTCTTTGATAGTCTTAAGAGGATGTTACTATTATATGTCACTATTTGTTTTTTCTCTCTGACCCACGCGCAACATAGACAAAACGCATTTCCGCAGAATCATTTTCTCTATGTTTTTAAGGAATCTTATTAGTCACCTATTACAAAAAACATAGAGATTAATATTTTAGAGGGAATGATATATCGATTTTATATTTTATTGTTATTTGACTTTGTATTGGACTTTCAAAATAAACAAAAAAAATGTTGTACATTTAACTGATGTTTAAAATGTTTTGAAAAAATATTTAGAGAAATCGATATGTCATTACCTCAAAAATATTATTCTCTATTTTTTTTGTAATAGGTGATTTAACTCTAAGATTACTTAAAAATATAGAAAAAACGATTTTGCGCAAATGCGTTTTTCCTATGTTGCGCGTGGGCCAGAGCGAGAAAACAAATAGTGCGCAGACATCCTCTTGTATAGGCGTTAAGTCTACAAGATATTATGCTAAAACAGTCAACTGTCAAGTGCCCAGGGACATGTTGGGGAGAAAGGGAGCATGACTTTCAGGTTACCTATTTATGTTTAAGTGGGTACCCATGAATGAGGAATAATATTTTTAAATTTCATGAAAATAACAGAAATTGTTATTCTTTGTTTAAATATTTCTTTTGATCGGTCGCTTACATTCCAAACTCATATTGTGAAAATTACATGCAAGGCATTGAAGCTTCTCGGATTTGTTAAAAGAATGTTGGCTGAATTTAAATTGTCCAGTTCTCTTAAGACTTTGTATTGCTCTTTCGTTCGGTGTGTGTTAGAGTATGGTATAATTATTTGGGTAACATGCACACTTGATGGTAGTTGTCAACTTGAAGTCTTGAAACAGTTCAGATTAAATTTTTGAAATTTGACGCTTTCGCATTGTGTGCGAACCTCATGTGTATGAACCAGTGTCTCCGTTTGTCTATCCTATGTGATAGGAGAAAGCAGGATAATCTAACGGTTCTTTCTAAACTTATTAATGGTGAAGTTTATGCCACTGCCAAACTAAAGTTCCTACTTATTGTTCCGGATACTCTTTCCCTGTCCGTATTCCTTTTATCCTCTGTAATTATTTAACTTATCGCCATATTGTCCGTAAGATGAAACTGGCCAAAGAGGATCCACAATTCCTTAGTACTTGATGTAATTATTGTCTGTTCATTCTTAAATATTTGCAATTTTTCTTGTTAATTATTATTTAATACAAAACAATGTAATTGCCTGACATTATCTATATTCTATACTATAAGTCTATAACGATACAAATATACGATACAAATTCTAAAAATATTTTTGAATCTGAAGTACCTATAAGTAAGATCGACTTTCTTGAATTATAGGTAATAAAAATAATAATGGTAGGTTATTTGCTTGGTGATAAATTATACCTGTATAGATTAAAATATAGGTATAGGTTTATTTTAAATTGAATACCATTGTTCCGATTACAAAATTAATAATAGGTACCTGTGTCCTGCACAAGTGTTGGTTTTGTTGTGTGAAATATAATACGCACAAGTTATTTTTTAGTATTTCATTTTTTGTTATGAATATTAATAATCAATATAATATACAACACAAAATTGATTAACACACTTAGTCACGTATATATATGTATGATACTTTTATACCCACTGCTATCTCCGTGGCATTGCAATACAATTTACCTACTTAATATAATATACATAGTAGTAATATTTTGTTTAATGTCCATGAATAATAAATTGCCAAATTACTTCATAGAATATTATAAAATATTACAATAAATGATCATAAATTAAAATAGATATTAATTAATTTAGAGTTCTATAGTCTCTCTGGAATGTTATTATTAAATATCTTCTATTTATTTATCGAAAGTTGACCTTACTACTTGACTATTAAAATTAATAAAGCTTCGAGTACAAGTTTGGTGCAGCTGACTTCTTATTCACGAAACTGTGTCGGTTATTTTTTTGTTATTATCGCTAACATTTGATTTACACATTTACAATTAAATAAAATGTTCAAATAATGGTATATCCCTCTGAGACGTGAATACTATTGATAGATAAAATTAAAAAAACAAATTTATAATACCAATACCATTGAAGGTAAAACTGAATTATCTTCTATTTATACAATATATAGTATACATTTAATATTTAAACTACTCAAGACAGTGGAATATTTTGACGTTCCTTCCAAACACATTACCTAACCACATAATAAGTCCATATTAGTGTATAGCCACATGTAACAGATAGACCAAAAAATGTCAGATACCAAATAGGTATTTGGAAAAAATCTAATTGTGTAGTATTATTGTTTTCATTATAATCTGGTCGTTAGATTAATGAAAGTTTGGCAAACTAATTTTAAAATTAAAAACGCATAGAAGATCGAATATTTAATAGTCCAATTTAAATTTGTGAATGCCCATACTGCGTAAACTATACGTTTGTTCCTTAGAGTATAAATATATCATATACCTATACGGCTATACAAAAAAAAATATAAAAATATTCGGTTATTATAACCAAAACACACCAATTTGTATTCCATCACACTGACCGACCTTGTAATGCGATAATACTTTTTAAAACTGATTTGAATTCGTTATTGTGTCTACTTGAGATCGATCAGTCTACTTTTCCCAATTTTCACCCCCCCCCCCCCCCCCAACCACCAAAAAAAAACTATTAATTTTTGTTTGAATATTATGAAATATCGGAATTTCAGACGTATGGAACAAAATAAATACAAATGAGCATAAATTGTTTACCGTACACGCCAGCAACGCCGCCGTGGTGACTTGCGCGTCCGGGAAAGGTCCGCTATTTCTTTTACACCCAGTCACACACACTAATAAATAATAATCACTTACTAAGCACACATTTAAAATACCCGCATGCTTGCAATTTGAAAACTGCTTAATTCTTCTTAAAACCTGTCGGCCACCTATTACCTATCTTAATACAATAAATATAAGTTTTTTCAAAACGGCGCTCTGTGTATGCAATTTTAATACAATTTACACGTTTGAGTAAATAATGCAATAATATTACTAGAAATTACTACAATAACGATAAATTATGATATTCAAATATTTTTTTCATATATAAATTATAAAATTTGAATGAACGTTAGTTTAATAATTATCATATTAAAAATTGTTCTTTACAA